CAGTCACAGCTAGTGGGAAAGCCTCGATTTTTTTTTTTTTTTTTTTTTTGGACAGGCAGAGTGGACAGTGAGAGAGAGAGAAAGGTCTTCCTTTGCTGTTGGTTCACCCTCCAAGGGCCGCCACGACTGGCACACTGCGTTGATCCAAAGGCAGGAGCCAGGTGATTTTCCTGGTCTCCCATGGGGTGCAGGGCCCAAGCACTTGGGCCATCCTACACTGCACTCCCCGGCCACAGCAGAGAACTGGCCTGGAAGAGGGGCAACTGGGACAGAATCCGGCGCCCCAACCGGGACTAGAACCCTGTGTGCTGGTGCTGCAAGGCGGAGGATTAGCCTATTGAGCCACGGTGCTGGCCGCCTTGATTTGAACCCTAACAATTTAGGGCAAGTATCTGCACACTTACCTGCCGTGCTGTGCTGACTCAAAGCTATGCCCCTGCTGGTTGGAGGCCCCAGCCCGACTCGGGACTCCAGTCATTTCTGCCTGTTTCCTTCATCATAGTCATCATTTGAATTTATTGTGTTTTATTCTATGCTGGGCATCATCCCCAGGATTTCCATTCTATCAACAGACTTTCCCAGTGCTGAGACCTGGGCCCCAGAGACAGCCCCTGCAGCACGGCTGTCCTCAGTGCATGCTGTTCCACCAGCCCCTGGCTCTCAGCAAGGTTCCCTGGCCTCTCTGTCCTAATTGGCTCACAGACCCCCGTGCCAGACTTTCGGTGACTGGAGATGAGAAGCCCCCGCTACCCCCTTCATCATGGTTGGAACTCGTCCCATCAGCTCTGCCCCCAGCTTCCTGGTGGTGGCCCACTGGCCACCTTCTCATGAGTTGGTCTTGCTGTCTCACACAGCTTCCACATGTCATCCCGGCCAATGGAGCCCTACACTGGGTCCTGCCCATGAACCCTTGATGGTTCAGCACACAACCCGGCCAGGTGAGACACTGCAGCATTTTGTTTTGGGCTGAAGCAGTAGGATCTTGCTTGCTGCGTCCTGCAGGCTGAGCAGCCAGTGAGCCAGCACCTCCAGTGAGGGCTCACCACGACCTCCTTCTCGGAGCTGAGTGCAGGCCAGGCAGAGCCTTTTGCTGGTGGCCCTGCCGGGTTCATGGTAGGGCTGTGCTGCTCACCACACCCGCTTCTTTCCGTCCTTGTCTTGCAGATTCCTCCTGCCCTTCCTCTCCGTCTGCAGCCCTGCTCCATGGCCTTGCTCGGGGCTGGATCCTCCCCAGCCTTCAGGTCCCAGCTTGGCTCTCAGAAGCTCACTGAGGCCTTTGCCGATCGCCCTGCCTAGAATAATCCTCTCTCCTTCTCCACCCTCTGTGACTCTCATAACATCCCTCTTGTTGCCCTGTCACATTCATCAGTTGTCATATTGATTCCTTCCTCTGCTTACTCGTGTCTGTATTTTCTGTGGTATCCTAAGCGCCGAGAGTGAGGTCTCTCAAGACCTTTTCTTTTCTCACTTGGTGCTCTACTGTGTACAGAGCTCCTAGCACTGTGCCTGGCCTGCATTAGGTGCCCAGTAAACACGAGTTGAATGAAAGAATGAGGAAGCAATGTGCTGTTGAAAGCGATGGTATTGGCACTACTGCCAGTGGCTGAATCTCCACATCTGCCAGAGACCCTCTCGGATTGATGTCTTCCACATCTCCTACATAAATCCGTACCTTGCTAAGGGCTTTATTATTGCTTGCGTTGGCTAAGTGACTCCTTAAGCTATCTACTTTTCTTCAGTTTCCCCCATGGGAATGAAGTTGCTCCGTTCTCTATGATCACTTTTTTAGCAAATAAAATCAGAAGGGCAGTTTGGACTCTCCATGAGAGGGAAAACTGTCACCCAGGAGAATGGGTTCTTTGTTCTGCCTCTGTTGGGGACATGCGAGTCAAATGGAAGAGATCCTTGGAAGTTTAAACATAGAAAAAGCAGAACCAGGCCGTAGACAATGGTCCAGGTGACTCACAGCGTACCCAAGCAAAGCTAGTGCGTTCCAGGGGTTTCTCTGTCTGTCGGCAGGAGACTTCAGTGCACACGGAGAAGGCACCAGCGTGAGAGGCACAGACTGATGCAGAGTGGCGAGAGATGATGGGGCTTGGTTCACGGGGCAGAATGGTGGCTGGGGTCTCGGAAGGACCGAGGTCTAGTCAAGGCCTTGGAGAATAGGCAGGACTTGAGTCAGTTCCCTGGGGTGCCACTCGCAGCCTCTGTGAGGGTCCTGAGTGGTCCTGGTGTCTCCGTCCCCTCCAGGTACAGCCCGAGGATGCTCCTGTAGTTCTGTGGCTCCAGGGCGGGCCAGGAGGCTCATCCATGTTTGGACTGTTTGTGGAACATGGGCCGTACGTCGTCACGAAGAACATGACGCGTAAGTGTTGCCTTGGAGAATCCTCTCATCCCATCCTTGTATCTGCCCCCAAATTGACGGAGTGACCGTGGGACCACCGGGAGTGGCGTAGCAGCTTCATGCCTTTCCAACAACCTCTGTGCAAGCAGGAGGCGCCAGCGGGCTGGTGTCCTGCTGGGCTGCTTGCTCCCCGACGATTTGGGGGAAAGTTCGAAGCTGTTTTCTCTGAGGCTGCTGCTGACTGCGGTGTTCTCGGCCTGCAGGAACAGTTGGTGTTGATTATTCCTTAGGCGAGCTCTTTCGCCTGGGACTGAGGGGGAGGACTCATATCCCAAATTATTCACACAAACTGAACATGGCCTGTCACATCAATGACCCAAGCCTGGGCTGATCGGAACTCTGCAGGCGGGGCCGAGAGGGAGGGCGACATGGAGAGTGAGCCACATCTGATGTGACCCAGGGTTGCCTCCACCTCCTGTTTTCATTTTGGAGTTGTTGTTTACTTTCCCTGGATGAGGATTTGGAGTGTGAAGCAGGGTGTGACCCAGGAGAGAGGCTGCCAGGCCAGTGTTGTGGAAATTGGTGCCTGCAGCGTTGGATGGCAGGAAGAGGATTCCAGAGGGCGGGACGGATGGGTAATTTTGGAGGACGTTTCTTCGTGAACCCACTGCCTGGGGTTTGTTTCCAAGCATCCTCCTCCACGTGGAAACCTGCTGGGTTGGGACAAGGAAAGGGGAGGAGGAGAGAAAAGGCCCTCGTGGTGGCCGCCTGCTGTGGGGATGTGAAACCGGTCAGAGTCACCTCCACAGTCCATGGGGCAGGTGGGTGACTTGAGAGCTAGGTCACAGGGAAGGCTTTGTGACACTTCTTTCTCTGATCCCTTCTCTCTCTGTGTAGTGCGTGCCAGAGACTTCCCTTGGACTACCACATTATCCATGCTTTACATCGATAATCCGGTGAGTGTGACACGACCCTGGGAATGCCACTGTTGGTCTCCTTGGTATCTTTTTTTTTTTTTTTTGAAGATTTATTATTTTATCTGAAAGAGTTACACAGAGAAGAGGAGCAGAGAGAGAAAAGAAAGAGGGGTCTTCCATCCACTGATTCACTTCCCAGTTGGCCACAACAGCCAGAGCTGTGCTGATCTGAAGCCAGGAGTCAGGAGCTTCTTCTAGGTCTCCCACATGGGTGCAGGGGCCCAAGTGCTTGGACCATCTTCCACTGCTTTTCTAGGCCATAGCAGAGAGCTGGATCGGAAGTGGAGTAGCTGGGACTCGAACTGGCACCCATATGGGATGCCAGCACTGCAGACAGTGGCTTCAACCGCTACACCACAGCGCTGGCCCCTCCCTTGTCTCTTATCTTTGTTTCAATAAGTGACAGATGACCCATACAAAAATAGTCCCCTCAGGTTATAATGGAACTGGAAAATTCCTGTTGTCTAGTGTTTCTCTGTCCCTTCTCTGTGTGTAGATGCATCGACGGTTGCTGTTGTGGTGCAGTGGGCTGCAGCAAAAGGCAGCGTGGCATAGCTGAGGCGCACGGTGCGCTGTGCCATCTGGGTGTGTGTGCACCCTCTGTGATGTTTCACATAGCGACCAACTGGCCCAAGAATGCATTTCTCAAATAATATCCATCGTTAAGTGATGCATGACCATACATTAAAATATAGATTTGTGTTTTTTTGAAATAGAATGTAGTCTATCAAAGCAAAATCATCTTGCCATTTATTTTTTATAATAACAGGCATTATCATATCTTGAGTTGGGGATTTTTTCCCTCTCTCTCTTCTCTTCATTTTTAATACTATCAGATGTTTTGCTCACTGAATTATGCCATCAGGATAAGGATTATTTTTCACTGATGGTGTAGATTCCCCATATCACAGATTATCATATAATATCTGAACTCCTAATCTCTTGGAATTCTAGATGTAAGGAATAAAAATGGCCTCCTCATATCTAGGCAAGCAGGCTGCCTCTTCTTGGGATAAGAGTTGATATTCTCCTTGGAAAGTTCTCTGAAATTATCTTCAGAAGGTACCAAGGAGAAAACAAATACCCAGGAAAAAAAAGTTCAACCTTTTTTCCTCATCCTTTTTTTCCAGTCTATAATTGCCTATTTAAATAAAAGGGGATTAAAGAGCCTGTCCCTTGGATATTGGGGGGGGGGGCGGGAATCTGTACGCCTGCTGGGGAGTGCATTCCTTGTAGGATTACTGATGTAATTTAGGCGCCTCTGCTTTTGATTTACAGCTCAGTTGTCCGTGAACTTCTAAGCATAAGGAGATATGAGTTTAAAAGTTCTCAGTTCTCACAAAGAAGAGGAGGAGGAGGAGGAGGAGGAAGAGGAGGGAAAGGAAGGGGAGAGGAGGAGAGATGACCCCGCACAACCGTCTTTAATCTCCAGCGCAGTGAGCTCCTCCTTGGTGGGACAGAGCTGTGCACTGCCCAGGTTTCAGAGGGGACAGTTTGGATGCCAGGGTCCAGGAATGGCAGATTCTTCCTCCTTAAGTCACATCTGGCAGAGTCCCCACTGAGGAATCAGGACAGCTCAGCTGCTGACCCCAGGGCGAAGCTTTGTGCTGATGTTTTCATTTGGGCCCGGGCGTGGGGAAGGTGCTGAGCCTGGCCTCCTCCTGTGGGCACAGCGGGTGATGGCGAGCGTCAAAGGCGTGGCCTTTGGGATCAGGTCGCCTTCCGTCCTGGGATCTGTCCAGAGGTCCCCACTCGCGTGTTTCTCTGTGTTTGTGCCTGCTGATTGTTTCACACCCGCAGGTGGGCAACAGGCTTCAGCTTCACGCGTGATAGCCGTGGATACGCAGTCAATGAGATGATGTGGCAAAAGATTTATACAGGTAAAGTGCCCTGGCTTTCTCGCGGCCATCTGCAGACCAAATACTTCTCTGTCCCAACAGGAAAATTCTTCCAGTGATAGGTTTATTACTGATTAGCCTTTTCTTTGAAGTTTGAGATAGCATTTTCAATAATTGACATAGTAGTCAAAGGCTGAATGCTCCACTAAATAGAGTTCAACAAGTGAAACACAAGGCCATCGTTCCTCAGAAATACAGCAAGGGCTATGAACAATAATTAAATGGAAAGAGTTTACGGTCCAGTTTCTGAAGGTGTTGAAGGCTCACACGAGGAGTGTGTGTGTGTACCCACACACACGACTTTCCACTTTGTTCCATGTAGCATTGATAATTATGTAAACTGCCAGCAGAGAAAGTGCAAAGAGCTGAGGCCTTCAGGTGCCCTTGTCGCTCTGTGCACACCTCGTTTAACACACAGTAGGGACAGAGCAGAAAGCAAGTCAAGATTGCTTTTCAGAGCTTTCCGCCACGTGCTTCAGGGTTCTGCTCGGTTTCCAAAAATACATTTCGGTTGTTTGCATTTGCTGGGAGATGTCAGCTCAGATAGTTTGTTTTCCCCAGGATTCCTCATTTTTCTGAATTTTGTAGGATGAAGGAAAGACCTTCATCTCACAAGAATTCTCTTTTGCTTAAAAAAAAAAAAAAAACAAGAATGTGAGTTGTAAACCTGGTCAAACAGTGCACATATAATTTGTTCCTTTCTTTTTCTCCCATTCATCACAGCTATTTTTAGTGCATTCTTTAAAAGTCAGCTGACCTGCTCTTACTGTGAGCTTTTTCCGGTCTATAAATTATTGCTAGGGGTCAAGTCCTGTGTTCCTTCAGATCACTAGGGCTCTACTCTGTATCCTAAGAACCCACTAAAAGAGCCCCACTGGCCAGAAGGGGTTAACCGGCCTCCCTCACCGCTCCTCCACTGAAGGCCCATTCTGCTGATTCCTGGAAAGGAAACCATTCCCCAAGTGAAAGTGCATCTAACCAGAGTCAGCCTGTTCTGGGTCTGACAAAGCTGCTTTTTCTGCAAGGCAGGTGGCTGGGGGAGAGAGGAAGCACAGGCTTCCAGGGCTTTCCCCCTAGGACGTCCCTCTCTCCCTCTGCTGACCGAGAAAACAATGTGACCATCATCCTCTCCACTTCCATTTTGCACACGTCCCATGATCTGAACACCTCCATGCGATTTCCAGACCCACATGTCTGCCTCCTGGCAGTGCATCCCGGAAGCGTGGAAGCCAAGTTCCCATGGGGGTCCCCCTGCCTCCTGTGGGGACAGGCCTCTGACGGCTGCCCAGCAGTCTCACGCACAGCGGCTCTCATTTAAAAGGGGACTTCAAAGAGTTCATGGAGAATGCAAAACATGTTCAGGTCCACTCATGGTTTTTCATTGCTAGGCAGACCCCCACCCCACCCCATGAACTTTTAGGAGACCCCTTGTATGCATTGGATTCAAAAATTTTTGGTACCAAAGTAAAACATCTTTTAGTTCTGTTTTCATGAGCTTTTGGAAGCCCCCTTGTGCTCATCTACTCCTCCCACTGGAAACCCTACTCCTCCCCCTCACCCCACCGCCTTTCAGCTTAAATCCAAACAGGCCAACACCCTGAGGGCAGAGGGCCCTAGAAGACAGAGCCATGCAGGGCCAGCACCACCATCACCACCACCTTCTTGGTCTCTGTCTCTGCTCCCCCACCCCCCAAGGGGACAGCGGCCAGGGGCCCCTGCCTGTGGACGTCTGCCGCTGACAGGGTGACATGTGGCCATCTCCTCTTGCCTGGCATGTAAAGAGAGCCCATTTCAAGCCCTCGTTGTTTATAGCTGTCTCAGTTCTTTTTGCCTCAGGCTCCTAGAACTGGAAACTAGCTCATCAGGGCGGGTGCAGGAAACTGGTTCCAGCCGTTCCCTGTCTGCTTTACACCGTGGGACACAGTCCGGCCCCAGCACTCCAGATGCGTGTTTGCAATTAGGAGATCCCTTTGAAACTGGTAGATGGGCTGCTATAGGTTAAAGATGTACCTTCTGTCATCTCCCTTTGCAAGCCATCTTTGTTTGTTCTGCACATCCCACTCCTTTGACTATTGATGCAGTGCCTGGCTGTGAGGAGTTGCCTGTAAGAGGGCATTTCACAGTCACATTTATGCTGCTTTCCTGTGTGCTTGGAAATAAAACATTCACTTTAACATGTTTAAAAAAAAAAATACTCTGATTCTCTCTTTTTCTATTTAGAATAGGCTGGCCACAGAGCCTCTCTGGTTTAGAAAAAAAAATACTAAAAATTAACAATTTCACTACCTTTGATTTAGAACAGACTAGTGGTGCTGCTCTCTTCCTCCTGCTGTTCATGGTTTGCCGGCCATATAGCAGGCGCTGTTGGCCCTGCTGGCGACACAGCAGTGAAAACGGTGCCGAAAGTGCGGTGGGTACCTGGGCACCTGGTAGTGACAAAGTCACCAGTGAAAGTCCCCAGCACTGTGGGAGTCACTAGTTACGGAACAGGCCCTAGCCAGCGGCGCTCTGCCTGGGCTCCGCATCTCAACTCCTAGCAGCCTTGCAGTGAGTTCAGCAGCCAGTAGCCTCTCTCTGTCCCCACCGCCTGCAGCCCCTTTGCAGTGTGTTTAACAAATCTGACTGCCACATCTGTGGGTGAATTCCTTCACCACTGTGTCACTGCCCTCAACCAGTTGCATCCCACAACAAAAAGCCCCTGCTCTCCTGGTGCCTGCCATGCAGTCAGGCGCCTGACCTTCCTCTCTTAGCAGCCACAGGGAAGTGCTGCTGTCACTCCACTGTGGGTGTTGGAGTGTGATGGGAAGTGACCTGTCTGGTAAGCAAAGCCTCTTAGCAGTGCGACTGGGAAGCGGGTTTCATATAAATGAGGACACAGTGACCCGTGCAGGGCAGAGAGGACCACGGTGGGGCTGCGCTGGGTGTGGGGTGTGCTCTCAAGAGGCTGGCTGCCCTCCACGATGGTGCCTGTGGCCATGGTGCTGCAGTCTGCTGTAGCTCCACCTGCCCCATGAGTGTTGGTCTGGGGCTTCTGCCTGGGGTGTTTGAACCTCCGTCCTCCCACATGTCCTATGTGTTGACTGTGATTCTGCTTTGTTAGAACAGACCAAATTTCCACACTGTTTCCCCCAAACCTTCTCTGCCCCATGTATCCCAGGTTCCCTTTTTAGAAAATGATTCATGGGGACGCCGGCGCCGTGGCTCAATAGGCTAATCCTCCACCTTGCGGCGCCGGCAGCACCCGGTTCTAGTCCCGGTCGGGGCGCCGGATTCTGTCCCGGTTGCCCCTCTTCCAGGCCAGCTCTCTGCTATGGCCAGGGAGTGCAGTGGAGGATGGCCCAGGTGCTTGGGCCCTGCACCCCATGGGAGACCAGGAAAAAGCACCTGGATCCTGGCTCCTGCCATCGGATCAGCGCGGTGCGCCGGCTGCAGCGGCGGCCATTGGAGGGTGAACCAACGGCAAAGGAAGAACTTTCTCTCTCTGTCTCTCTCTCTCACTGTCCCCCCTGCCTTTCAAAAAAAAAAAAAAAAAAAATAAAAAAAAATAAAAAAAAAAAAAGAAAATGATCCATGGAGTACCTCCGCCCTAGGCACTCTTCCTGCATCCCGTGTCTTCTGTCGTTCTCCATCGTGGCCTTTCTGCCAGCGGCTAGCCTCTGACTACAGCTCTGTAACACAAGCCCTTGGCATCATAACAGCATGTTGCTGGTGGAACCTCCTGGATGAGGCGCACCGTTCGCGCCACATAGCTCTTGTGCCTGAGTGAATGCATGGAGTGTACACTCATAGACACATGGCACACACACTTGTGTATTGCACAGTACATCTTTTAGCTATTCCATTTTTTTTAGATTTATTTATTTATTTGAAAGGCAGAGTTACAGAGAGGCAGAGGCAGAGAGAGAGAGAGAGCTCTTCCATCCACTGGTTCACTCCCCAAATGACCACGACAGCTAGAGCTGAGCCAATCCAAAGCCAGGAACCTGAGGCTTCCCTAGGTCTCCCATGAAGGTGCAGGGGCCCAAGGACTTGGGCCGTCTTCTGCGTTCCCAGTCACATTAGCAGGGAGCTGTATTGGAAGTGGAGCAGCCAGGACTTGAATCTGTGCCCATATGGGATGCTGGCACTGGAGGTGGCAGCTTTGTCTGCCATGCCACAGTACTGGCCCCTTAGCTATTCTGTTCCCTAAATTAAACATTTCAGAGAACATGATTCTAGATTCTATTTTTAAGCAGACCCTTACATTATAAGATAGCCTTGAGTGAAATACAGTAAAATGAGCAACTGGCATGTGTAAATCTAAATAAATTGCCTTTTTTCATTATTTGCTCCCAGTTAGAATATCTACCCAGGGCTTGCTGTGAAATGAAAAAAATCAGTGTTTTTTGTTTTTGTTTTTTTTTTTGTGACTTACTGTGGAATGAAAACTGTTAGAATGCCTTCCTCAAATGGTGCCTTCCCTTGGAAACTTTAGCTATAGAATCCTGGCATTTTCAAGTCAGAATTACCCTAGGAGTAATTACCTACAGGTAAGCTTGCCAGATAAAGCACAAATGCCCAGTTAGATTTGAATTTCAGATAAACAGCTAATGACTTTAATGGAAGCCTGTTGTATGCAATATTTGGGACACATACACACTACAGTATTTTTTTATTTATCTGGAATTCAAATTTGATTGACCATCTTGTATTTTTAATTTGCTAAATCTGGCAACCCCAGTGACTCTCCAGCAAATGCTACAGGAACCAAGCTTTAAGCTGGAGTGCAAGGCTTACTTGAGATTTCCTATATGAAGTTATCTGTTGCCTTTCCAACAAGCAGGACAGAGTGGAAGGGAAGTTGTTTTAGCCTGGAGGTTGGAGACGGAAGGGTGGAGAAGGAATCCTGTTTTCATCTTTACTCTGAAGCCAGCTTACTGCCACTATTACATGGAAGCTATAAAAATGCTGCTTCCCAGATTCAGTCGCTACAAAGGCTGCTATAAATAATAAACAGAGAAATATGCCAAAACTCTACAGTAGTGTTTCCAGGCCAGTTTTTCTGGAGCCTTTGAAAATTAATTGTAGCCAGCACCATGGCTGTGGAAATGACCCAATTTCATTTGCCCTTCTGTGACCCTTGAACTTTCAAACCCCCCCCCCCCCACCCCCGCCTTGAGATTTTCTGTGCCTTTCATCTTCCCTGGTGACCCTCAGCAGGGACCCGGGACAAACCAGCCCCAGCTTCTCAGGCCCAGCAATCTGGTCAAACACTCACAGAGCAGCTGAGTTTCACGAGTTTTTACTTCCTTTTTCGAAAGATTTTGGTCAAGTAGAGAACCATTCAGAGATCCATGCTTTTCCTGCTGGTTATGAAATAATTCTTGGGACCTGTTTAAATCTGTCGGCCTAATGCGCTGTAGTGGCTGTTGGCATTCTTTACAAACTTGACTTTGTAGAGCCCATGGCCCATGCACACCCATGGCCATTTACTGATTTCCCATGAGATGATGGTCATTTTCCAGCTTTTCTGTTCTTTGATTATTAAGACGCTGATGTTCTGAGCGCTCCATTAGGAATGATCAGAGTTCCCCACTGGGTGGGGGGGGTGGATAGGCAAGCAAATGGGGTTCCTATCGTTTCAGTGCATAGAAAGCCAGGTTAACGGGGTCCTAGGGTTTGCAGAACCACCTCCAGGGATTGCTGAGTAAGAGCAAATCTCTATCCTTTGCTTCAGGCGCCCTCAACAGCTGGGGTGTTCCAGTCACCAGAAACATGGACACACACCAGAGTGTTGATGTCCCACTTGTCACAGGCACTTCCAGCCACCCACATAGTGTGGATTGTTATGCACACGAGACTGAAAAAAAATGCTCCAGAGAAGCTCACACTAAGAAGGGTGTCTTATTTCAGCTGTGAGACCTACTGCCAAGCGGTTAGATTGGGAGCACAGTGGGAAATGGTTCTGACGCACTTTCCTGATTAACTTTGACTGCTGTCCTTTCTCTTACAGTGCTCTAAATCAGTTTTTCCAGTTGTTTCCTGAATACCGACAGAATGACTTTTACATTGCCGGGGAGGTGAGTCGAAGTCATGTATTCTGGTGCTCTCCCAGCATCCTCCGGACTGAAATATACTGTGACAGTTGAGGATCATTCATTTAAAAAGTGTTAATATTCAGCCCACATTCAAAATTGTCTGATTATCTCCAGAATATCCTCCATCACGTATTTTTGTCGGATACTGGGCCGGGTAGAGATCTGTGCGTCATGAGGGGGTGTGGTGGGTGGTCGCGTCTCGGTCCCCTGCATTTGCTCTTATTACCCATGATGATGACTTGGAGAGTCTATCCCAGGTGCCTTGTAGGCTGTTCCAAATGTTGTGCAAAAATACTACACAGACGGCACTGTGTAATCTCTGTTGTATCCCGCCAGGAAGGACATGATGTCAGTTTGCCCTTTCCCAGGATGCTAAACTTGATCATTTGATCACCAGGCTTCTGCCAGGCCTCAGCTCTGAAGGCACCTGCTTCTGTGTATAGTTAATAATAATCTGAGCCTGTGTGACATCTTTTCCCCTACATCTGGCACCCAGCAGTTTTAGTATCCACTGAGGCTCCTGTGGTGATCAGTACACTGGAGGTTGTAAAGCGGTGACTTTTCTAATCTTTCCATAGCTGTCACCTGGCATTCTTCTGTATAGAGGATCTTCCTTCCACTTCTTCTCTATTATGTGCTTTTAAAAATATCACTGTGAACTCAAGCATGGCTATTTCTATTTGATCTGCTAAGATTTATTGCTGTCATTGTTTTGACGCTTGTACGGTTCCAAATTTGGTTACTGGGAGCCCCTTCAAGCTGGCTCCTGTACTCTCCGACAGTCCCATTAGTCTTTGAGCATTTCCTTGTTTTTTTGGCACAAATGTATGTCTCAGAAGCATCTTTCTTGTACTGCCTTTGTTTGTTTGTTCCAGGAACTCTGCCTTTTTTGAATGGGGCTGTGGTATTTAAGAACCAAGTCCCAAGCACTGTGTGTGCTCATTGCTATGCGGACATCCTTTCTTTTAGACTTTGTATGGGCAGAGTTAGGAGACAAAATGACTCTACACTGATGCTCATGGTTCTAGCTCCACACCACAGGATTCTCTTCTGCTTCGCGTGGTAATTGTTCAATTGTTCAGCCTTCCCTGGCACTGAGAACTGGGGCTTCTGACAGCATCCCTCCTCTGCTCAGTCCTGCAGTACCTCCACAGAGGTTTCAGAATTTCTGTGTCAAAACTAGTGCCAACAAGGAATTTCCAAGTTACTTAAATATTTATTGAAGTTATTTTTCTACTTAGATTATATCTCGCTAAAAGTTTATGATCAAAATATTATGTTTAAATGTCATAGAATTAATTCTGGGACCAGTACTGTACACAGTAGGTTAAGCTGCCATCTGCAATGCCTGCATCCCACATGGGTACCAATTTGAGTCCAGCTGCTCTGCATCTGGTCCAGGTCCTTGTTGATATGCCTGGGAAAGCAGCAGAGGGTGGCCTAAGTCCTTGGGCCCCTGCACCCATGTGGGAGACCTGGAGGAAGCTCCTGGCTTCTGGCCCAGCCCTGGCCATTGTGCCCATTTGGGAAGTGAACCAGTGGATGGAAGACCTCTCTCTCTCTCTCTGTGTCTCTCCTCTCTCTCACTGCAATACTTTCAACTAAATAAATAAATATAATTTCTATGATTTAGGGCCATTATGATACAATTTAATGTTTTTATATAATTAGGCTCACTTGTATATATTGGTTTCAATTGTAAAAATTTGTCTTTTTCATTCTTTTAAATTTATAGCAATTTCTAAACTGTGTATCAACCCATAATATATTGAGCACACAGGGTATTAGTAATATATTGAGCACATTGGGTATTAGTAATATAATGGTGAACAAAATAAAAAAAATCCTGCCTTCATACATTCAAAAAGGTTGACAATGAAAAATAAAATAAAAATATAGTATGTAGTGTGACGTCAGGCAATGATGATTGTCAAAAGAAAGATACAGGAGGGCAAAAATTGGAGAGCGAGGAAGGTGTGATTTTTGGATGAGATCATTCCGGACATGGAGCCTTGTGTTCGGAGCTGAGAAGGAACAGGCAGGTGAATTCCGTGGAGCCCTGCTGCCCACGGTGGGCTGTACACCGTATATCATGTGTGAGGGAAACCAGTGGAGGATGCAGCATTCACTGGGAGAGTTAGGGTTGAATTAGATAGACTGTCATGAGGAATTGAGCTTGTGTTAGGAATTCAGTGATCAATAAGACATCAAAGGCTTAATACTTAGAAGTAGAATGAAGTAACTACAAAGATGAATTGCACAGGAAAGGTACAGATAGCTAAGTGACAATATGGGACCCTCAGGAAAGGCCACCCAGAGTGGGTAACAGTTCAGCTGCAGTTTTAAGGATAAACAGGGGTGTATTAGTCATACCTTGCCATCAGGACATGTCTCATTCACTGGGCTTTGTAATTCTGTGGTTTCAGTCTCAAGGAAATTCTTTTGACCTGGTGCCCCTTTTCTTCCACCCCATGCTGGAGCAGATATAGTCCACAAGATTGATTTCTCTTTTTCAATAATTCCGTCCATATTCCTGAATCTCCTATGATCCACTTGGACCCCGTTCCTGTCCGAAGTGGGGGCAGGAGGATGAAGCATACAGAGTGGCCTGAAACAGTGGTGCCCGAGGCCTCCTCCAGTGTCCTGGGACTGGAAGGATCACAGTGCCCCCTACCCTCCGGATGCACAAGGCCTGAGAGTGAGAGCTGAGTGACTTCCAGAGGGAGAGCCGAGGGCTGACACCAGAGGAAGGCCTGAAAGGAGGCTGGGAGGACATATCCAGATGTCCACTCGAAGGGAGTGAACAAGAACACGAGCCTCCGTTTTTCTCAAGGGAAAGGCAAGATAATGGCCTAGGAATTTCCTTTCTTTAAGCTTGCTTGCTTCTCCTTCTCCTTGGAAAGGCTATTCCAGCTGTTTAGCAGACTACACTTCAGGTTCACTTAGGATAATGTGGAACCTCTATCTGTGATCCACTGCTGTTCCATGTCTTCCAAGCGATTTTAGGGGCAGACAGTGACATTCCCGTCATTTGATAGCAACCCTGGAAAATGCCAAGTCTCCACCTTGAAACAAAGAGAGATCTGCTTAGTGTGTAATTTCTTGTCTTGCAAATAATGTGAGGGTATTGTTAACTGTGACGCTGAACTTTTAGCAAAGATGCAAAAGTCCTGGATGAAAAACTTGACTCGTCTATTTCAGTTCTGCCTGTTGGTTTTGTACATGTAACTTGCAAATGCATAAAGCAAAGGAATTTTTCTGTTTGCAGTCTTTGCTGCTGGGATGAATGCTTTCCAGGAAATCTGTGCCTCACAGGAGGTGCAGGAGCATGTGAGTGCAGGACGCAAGGCCTACGTAAAGACGCAGTTTGTCGGGAGCATAACCTTCCTAAGAATGGGATGCACTGATTCTGGGGACATTGCTTTGCTTAAGGAAGGACACTGGGTAATGAAGCCTTGATGGTGTCTTATTACTACAATGTGGTATTTTTCCAGCCTGGATTATTCCAACTCATTGTCTTCTGTTTTTAGGCCAGAAGAAGAATGAAAAAGTGGAAGGAGTTCTGGATTAATAATTAGGAGATCTGGGATCACGCTGGATAATTCTAGGAAAACCTTTTTAAATTTTTTGATTATTTATTTGAGAGAGAGAGTGAGCTCTCTCGCTAGTTCACTCCCCAGGTGCCTGTATTGGCTGGGACTGGAGGTCAAGCTGTAGCTGGGAGCTGGGGGCTCAATCCGGGTCTTCCACGTGGTGGCAGGGACTTGAGCTGTCACCTGTGGTGTCCCAGGGTGTGCATTAGCAGGAAGCTGGAGTCGGGCCAGAGGCAGCTATTGAGCCCAAGCGTTTCTGTATGAGACACTGGCATTCTAATCACTAGGCTAATGCGTGCTCCCTCTAGGAAACCCTCTTAGCTTTCTGGGCCTCTGTTTTAATCTTAGAAACAGAGGAGTCAGTTTTAAATGAGATCAAGTCCAGGGCAGTTCCCTAGGCTTGCTCGTAAAGCATCTAAAAGTAATTGCACTTTTAACACAGGACCAACCCGCCCTCCTCTTTCCACCACCACCACTGCTGGGAAAAAAGTGTTTATAAATATTCAAGAAAGTTCCTTTTCCTCTGAACTTAATTTCCTCACACTCTTAGGCAGGCTGAGCAAACTGCTGCTCAATTATAGAATGCTCCTTGAAATATAAAAGCATAGATCCAGAAATGATTTACTGATTTTCTGTGCAAAACCCCTGGACCTAAATATCCTTCACGTTTGTGTGCTTTGAATGAGGGTAGCCTGATGCTCAAAGAGTCTGGAGCAGCTGTTCAGAGCCCTGATATTGGTACAAGAGAGTCTGGAAATAATAATAGTACCTACTGCGTAGCATTGTTTTGTGTGTTTAATTAGCTGATCCTCCTCAACTATTTAGCATAGACGGGCTGTGATGAGCACCCAGCACGTTACAGTGACTGCCATTGCTCTCCATGCGGAAAGGCCGCGTGAATGCATTTGCCTCCAGAGCACGTGGCCTAATGCATGTAGACAGAAGCTGCAATGTTAATCAAAGCTGTGTTCACTCGTTGCTGGAATGTGCCATTGTTTCCTCTTCTGTGGCTATGTTTTTTTTTTTTTTTAAATTTATTTATGTGAAAGGCAGAGTCAGAGAGAGAGAGAGAGAATATGTTCCATCTTGCTAGATCACTTCTCACCATGGTCAGGGCTGATCCAGGCCAAAGCTGCGTACTTCATCTGGGTCTCCCACGTGGCTGGCAAGAGCCCAAACACTTGGGCCATCATCCATTGCTTTTCTCAGGCCATTGTCAGGCAGCTGATTGGAAGTGGAGCAGCTGGGACATGAACCAGCACCCATGTGAGATGCTGGCATCATAGGCGGTGGCTGTACCCACTATGCCAGATTGATGGCCCTTGCGGCCGTGATTCTGAAATCATTTTTAAAAGAAATAGTTCACTTTGCCTGAAAGATAAAGATGAA